AGGAAAACCTCACAAGGTAAGATGTTTGCACAATTCTAGAACAAGAAAAGAACACTCAAAGATAATTACAAATGAGCACAAATGGTGTTCTTGAAAGAAAAATGAATATTGAAAGGAAAATTGGCTTGATTTGCACAAACTTGGTGTTTGATGCTTTCTCTCTTGTTTCTCTATATTTTCTTATTGATCAAGGGCTTCAGAACTTGTTTAAATACACCTTGAATCACTTCTGAACATTGGGGATGATTAGTGAAGATCATATAGCCGTTTTAGTGTGAAAATAATTAATAAAACAGCTTGGAGCATGGGGGGAATCGGTACCCCCTATGGGGAATCGGTTCCCTAAGTGTAAAATTCAAATATTTCGACCGTTATATAATGGGGGAATCAGTACCCCTGGGGGGAATCGGTTCCCTCCGAGCATACTGGAATTCTCGGAGCCAAACCATTCAGGGGGAATCGATACCCCCTTAGGGGGGAATCGGTTCCCTCTGAGCAATCTTGAATTTTTGGCTTTGAAATGGTTCGAAATACTTTGTAAAATTATTTTGAAATTGTTTTAAGATTAAAACTTAATTTTACACTTTGAGTAAGGATTAAAAATGATCTTTGAAAGATTTGGAGTAATGTTCTGATATTCGAATAATTCTATCGAATATACTTAGAAAATCATTTGGAAAATCTTAAAATTCATTTAACTTAATTTTTTATATCGAAATATCAAAATATTTTAAATAATGTCGATATCCTCTTCTCTTTACCCTTAGACGGTATACGATCGTGATTTTTTGGTCGGCCAGGTAGCCTGCTGTCCATGACTGGTGGCAAAACTGTTTGTAAGTCATCTGGTATGTCCCACTCAGAAGGATGTGGACATGGATAGACAATCTCGGCATAAGTATGTCGATATACTTCTGTAGTGTAGCAATCCATAGCGTATGCGCTTGAATCATCTTGGTTTAGATGAAGAGCAACTTTTATAACATGGCCACATGGATAACCAGATGTTTGTCATTTCTTACAACTACACGTCTTTGCATTTAGATCGATAAGCCCATTTAAATTATTATCAAATACTTCAAACAAAGTGTTTGAACATGGTTCAACTCTCCAGGACGTTGACTTCACAACACGTTTCGTTATCTTTTTTTCAGTCCATGGTGTAACACGACGTTCCAATGTTCCTGTAAATTTAAATAAATAATACTGAGTAAAATATATATGATAAGTTACGAATTTAAAGAAATAATACATGTATGGTTTCTTTTCTTGTAGTACCACTGTTGAATAGAGGCTCGAAAAAACTCCATTAACATAGTAATGGGTAATTTTCGTGAATAACGACTTAGAGTGTTGATTGATTCTGCACTATCGGACGTCATGAAACTATATCTTGCTCCAAGTTGATGTACTCTTGACCATCTTTCAAACCTGACATCTTCTAGTGTTTGAGCGCATTGAGGAAAAACACGTCTTAAACAATTTATATGCTTATTAAAATCCACTTCTCGATAAGCTTTTACAGCCTTCCAGTATGTCCATTTGTGATTTTTTATACCAGCAGACCTTGATTTTAGATTTCTATACAAATGAACACCACAAAGTCTATGAAAAGCATCTGGGAAACACCTTCTAACATCGTTGTCAATTGAGTTTGCCCTATCGGATATGATTGTCAGATTGTTAATAGGACCTATGCAATCCCTAAGATGCCCCATAAACCATGTCCATGAATCAGAGGTTTCAGATTTGCTAACCCCGTAAGCTATTGGCAGTATCCCATTGTTAGCATCCATGGTTACTGCTAATAAGTTTACTCCAAGGTATCGACCTTTCAAACGTGCTCCGTCAACTATAATAACTGGGTGCATGCAAGTAATAAACGAACGAATCTACAAAATCATATACACAAGAAATATAATCATTTAAATGTGAAATGCATGCAACTAACAAAAATGAGTCAACAAAATTATAATTATTTACTAACCGCAGCACCAATGGTGATAAACAACAACTCAAAGCGTTCATCTCTATCTGTTTTTGATATGAGTTACTGACCTAGGATTTTTCAGCTTTAAATTGTGACAATAAGCCGGAAGTTGGGCAAACGATGCTTCTGGTGACCCCCTCAACAATTCCAAGGCATAACATTTGGCTCTCCAAGCTTGAGAATATGAGATACTAATCTTGAACCGAGCATTCATGTCAGTCATAATTTCATGTCCCCAATATACCCTTCCATTCAAAAACATTAACTCAGCCAGAAAACCACCCAACACCTTTTTGTTTGCATGTCTATGGTGAGGAAAAACTTGGGTTCTTGAACATGTATGTTTATCAATAAAAGTCCTAACTTGAAACATTTCGCAATCTTTTATCCTCTTAGCAATCATACGCCACGTATAGTTTTTGTCAATCATACACCTTGTTTCGAAACGATCTTTGCTTGATTTGTTAACTCTTAGTTGATAGCCATCTTCCACACATTTCGTATATAAAGTTATCTTCAAGTCTTCCTTTGTATCAAAACAATCATCTTTCTTGATACGATTAACGTTTTTGTAATAATCAACTGATATCTTTACCAACTCTTCTTCCGGTATCTGAAGTAATTCTGGCATATTCCAGTTATACTCCCGTGGTATTTTCTTCTTTTTCCTTTCTTCGGGGACTTCTTCTTCTTCTTTTTCTTCTTCAAGGTTATATGAATTACAGAATGGATATTCAACATGTTCATTCACAGTCGTAACTTCCTCCTCATTATCATCAACAACATCTTCCTTGGCAGCGGCTGTTTCATCATCAAAAATCGGATTTTGACCAATATCAAAATCATTACATGCAAGGTCTGTTTCTTCTTCCATCACATCATCAAAATCTGAGTATTGACCAAGATCAAAGTCCGGGTATTGACCAAGATCAAATTTCGAATACTGACTAGTACTCACAATTTTTTCTGTTGACTCATAATCGTCTAACTGGTCAATACGAAAATTGAAATTTGGTGCTGAAAGTTGATTGGGATTTGGATTAGGAAAAAGTTGTGGGTTTTGAGATTGTGTTTGATATTGTGTTTGGTATTGGAAATGTGGTGAAACAAAATTTGCTTGGTGATGAAATTGTGGTAGAACCATTAAATTTTGGGTTGAAGAACTTAGTTGATTACTACCCGCTACTGACCCAACTTCACTACTTCTAGGTTCAACAACATATAATGTAACATCATCTTCTTGCGAAACACTAATGTAAGTAATGAATCGTTCAACATCTTTATTGTCGGTTAACAAATAAACTTTACCTTTTCTCAGATAAAATAGCCTAAATCCACTTAGAGGCTCTAAATTCAATTTCTTTGCAACACGTAACATTAGAGTTTCATAAGTTAACTTTTTTAATGACAGTTTTAGTTGAAGATTCATGGGTAAAGGAATATATTGTAAAAGCACCATGAACATTCTCCCATGACCCTCCAAAACACAAATCTATCCAAACATGATCAACATTAGATGATTTCATTCTAAAAATTGTAAATTAATTTACTAAACAAACGAGCTATAAACTAGATATCATCACTAACTTAGAGAAAAACATACCTTTATTAAGTTGATAGTTGATAATTTGGGAGAGAAATCATTGAAAAATTATATAGAAATAAAATTATGTAAAAAAAATAGAGATGGGGAAGGATGTCGTTGGATATAGGAACGGATGTCGCCGGAGAGAGTGATAGATGAAGATGAAATGAGTTGCGATTTAGGGATTTAGGGATTTAGGGTTATGAGTTGTTGCTGCTGCGTTGTTATATACCCAAAACATTTGTGTTGCGAAACTAAAACCTGTTGCGAAATTAAATTCGCGTTGCGAATTTGAAATTCAGTTGCGAATTTGACTTTCGCGTTGAGAATTTGACTATCGCGTTGCGAATTTGGAACGCGAATTTGGAAAATCGCAATGCGATTTACATATTCGCGTTGCGAAATTGAAATTCGCTTTGCGAATTTGAGATCGCGTTACGAATTTATTGGTCATTTTGGCAAATCCAAAAAAAGTTGGTTAAATTCGTATATTATAAGACATTTTTTGTCGCTGAAGTTATTTTCTCTTTTATTTTTTTCTTTATTAAATGAAATTTTTTATTCTTCTCTTAAAACTAATAAATAAATTTAAATATTTTTCGGTACATATTTTAAAATTTTATCTAATTGTTGTACATGTTATAGTATGATAATAATAATAAATATGCAAGTGAAGTCACACCTCTATCAAGATATATGGTAATTTTTTAATCACCTTACAAGAATGCACCTAATCTCCAAAAGAAGAAGAGCATTTTTTTTCATTATCTCTCTCAAAATCTATTAAACTTGAACCATCACTATTATTATAATCTTCTTTTACACGCAGATTGACAATAAATACACGCATTTTATAAATAGAGTTATAGATTTGCTTGGGACCCGAATTCGACATGTTTCGACCTGACTCGGTCTGATCGGATTGATTTTTTTATAAAAAAAATTTGGGTTCAGATCGGGTTTTTTAAAGGTGGTGTTCGGGTTGGTCGGATTCGGGTTTAGGGTGAAAAATACCCGACCCGACCAGAAAAAATATAATTTTATCTTATATATTTAGGAATAATTACAATAATACCCCTTTATATATTATTTTTTTCAATTAAATCATTATTTTTATTGAATAAAAATAATATTTTTATTATTATTTCGGGTTGGATCATATCGATTACGGATTTTTCAAAAATTCGGGTCGGGTTTAGATCGAATGGAGGGTATATATTATGCAGGTCGGGTCGAATTTTGAGTGGACATATCATTGTTCCCGGGTCGAATCGAATGGACCAAAAATCCGAACTAACCCGATCTATGCCTATTCGTGAATAGAGTTAATCGGATCACTTAAATAAAAAAAAAGTGAGAGGGACTTTGGTGTGGGTTTGTTCAACTTAAAACATCACTCGTCCTTGTCTTTCCTGAGGTCATAAAATGACGTCATCTGCCACCTCAACCCCATGGCGAGTTTTCTATCTAGTAGCACACGCCCGACAAAACACTGGTCTCATAAGCCGTGTATTAAAGGTGTGTAACCAGCTGGAATGCCACGTAGACACTTCCGATTCTCCGTATATAAAACGCTTCTCTGCTTCTTTATCTCTCGTCCTTAACAAACTGAAATCTGAAAAAAAGAAAATCATAATTCAACGCCACTTCCCTCCCGCGTTTATACCGAGATTTTGCCCGCTATACCATCTTCCTTCTGAACAAGAAATCTCCGTCATGGTTTCCGCCTTGAAGAACGTCATCACTGGTTCCACTTCCTCTTCTAATATTGATTCTTTTTTCGATTTTGGTGCTCCCGAGAGCTCCACTTCTACTTGTACTGGCGCTGACCGGTGTAACACGGTACTTCAAGTGAGTGAAGTTCAGGATAAGTGCCACGTCTGCAAATTCGACGGCTGTCTGGGATGCAATCTTTTCTCGCCAACTCTGCAAGACGTAAACAAGGGGACAATTAAGCCTAGAGGTAAAAGAGTAAAGAAAAACTACAGGGGAGTACGGCAAAGACCATGGGGCAAATGGGCAGCGGAGATTCGGGACCCAAGGCGTGCCAGCAGGGTGTGGCTCGGAACCTTCAACACGGCGGAGGAAGCAGCTCACGCTTATGATAAAGCAGCTATCGATTTCCGAGGACCGAGAGCTAAACTCAACTTCCCCTTCCCTGATATCAGTGCAACACCTCCACCACCACCACCAGCTACCGGAATAGTTACACCGATAATAACCAGTGATCATGAAATCAATAACAAATGGATGAATGAGGAAGAAGAGAAGGGAAAAAGACTGGAGAATGCAGTAAGCGAAGATGAGATTCAGCAGTGGATGATGATGATGATGATGACAGAATTTCAAGGGGACAACTATTGTTGGGATTCTACAGGGAATGCTAATATTTAAGTTTTTTTTTATGTATTTGTATTTGTAGCTGAATATTGTGTTGTACAATTTAGAATATCCACCATAGCCATAGGCTTTCTTCTATTTTACAAAGAGTTGGATGGAGGTAATAACTAGTTACTGTAGAACTGTATATTTCTTCTTTATTTCCGAAAATCAAAAGATTAATCAATAATTAAGAGGAGGAATTTATTTTCTAGATATACCTTACACTCATGTTGATGCTTGCGGCTAGGATGAGTATTTGATCGAGTTGAATCGAGTCAAAAGATTTCGAGTTATTCAAGTTAGCAAGTCGTATTTTACAATTCAAATTTAACTTTAAATTTTTTCGAGTTGAGTCAAGTTTAAGTAATTCGAGTTGAGGTATTCAAGTTTCTATTCTAATTTTATTATAATTATTTATAGTATTATGGTAATTGATAAAGATTTATTCTAATTTTTTTTATTTTCTCTAATCATAATATATATATATATATATATATATATATCAATATATATTATATTCTAAAATATAAAAGTATATTCATAATATTATATTTTAAAGAAAGTATTTTGAGGATAAAATATTGATGAAAGTATAAAGGAGTCAATGAATTGTTGGGATAAAAGAATTTGCAAACAATTGTAGTTAAAAGACCAAATTGAATAAGATGCAAAGTTAATAGACTAAATAAAAAAAGTGGTAGTACATTTTTAGTAAAAAAGTAAGAATTGAAGTTACATAAATATTCTATTGTGGTATATGAGCATGTGGTTCAAATTTAATAAAAACAAACTTAAAATAAATGATGAATTGAAAAAATACGAAAATTATAAAAAATTGAATGACTAAATTGAAAATAAAAAAATTGTTATTAAAAGAGGAATTGGAAGTACATATGCATTCTACGATGGCTAACAAGTATATGATTCAAATTTAATAAAAAATAAACTTAAAAGAATGAGGAATTAAAATAATAATGAAATTATAGACTAAATTATAAAATTATTAAAATATTTAGTTAAATTTTTAATTTTCGAGTAATTCAAAATTTCAACTCTACTCAAACTAAATGTATTGATAATTGGAGTTTCACTCAAATAACTGAATCTGAATAACTCAAAATTAAAGAAAAAACAAATTGCAAAACGAGTTGGCGAGTTGGATAACAGAGAACTGAATTTCAGACACGAGTTGGGACCCACCCCCACCTATACCGACATAAGCAAACTTTCGTTTCTCACCTGACGAAAGCTGCACAAAGGAATGTTTACTCACGTGTAATAAATAATGTTGGTAAGTGGGACCCCTTTATTTCAACACGTGAAATGCACCACTTTTAATTTAAACCCCTTCTCATTTTGTTTTTTTTTTCTAAAATAAATATTATATAAGAAATAAGTTTATTTTTTTAGTTTTTGAATATTATATCACTAAAAAATAAAGTTTAACACTTCTGTTATATATATTTTTTATTAATTTAGGATAATTATAAGGGGATAATAATAATATTTTTAGAGACTCTTAATCATTTAATAATAAATATTTAAATATCATATAGTTATTGATCATCAATTTAACTAATCATCGTTTTAATTCATGAAATTAAATTACATATTCTAAAACTCTAGAAAAGTTATTTAATTAAATGCATTTTTTTATCATCAATTGTTAACTGCAGGGTCGTCCCTGGGACAGGGCAGGAGGGGTGTCCGTCTTGGGCCCACAAAATAAATTTTTTAGTATAATATTTTTTTTATTTTTCTAATAATAAATTAAAAAGTTATAAAATAAAATAGAGTAATCTATTCATTAGTACATAAACTATTAGTTCTGATCCGTTTTGGTACTTAAACTTTTAATTTTTTTTAAAAATGATATCTATCGTATAATTTTCATTTCATTTTAATATCCGTTATTAAAAACTTAATGCATTTAGTACCTATCAGTTTTGGTTTGTTTTAGTACCTAAAATTTCAAAAAAAAAATTAAAACTTAACGTTAAATTTTGAATGTGTACTAAAATGAAATAAAAAGACTAAAGTTTTTAACGACGGGTACTAAAATGAAACAAAAACTAAACGTTACTTATGGTTTTGAAAAAATTGAAAGTTTAGGTACTAAAACCAATGTTTTTAAAACCGGACCGGACATTGAACCGGTGAAGGTACTGGTTCACTGGTTCAACCGCGGTTGAACCAGATTTTATATAAAATAATATTTTTTTTAATTTTACATAATATTCAAAGCAATATTAATATATATGTAACACTTTTTTTAAGTTTACAATATTAAAAGGTATAAAAATATCACAAGTCATAACATATATAAATTAAAAACCATAAAATTAAGTGAAACAAAATGATTCAAATCAACTACAACATAATATTAAGGTAAAATATATTAAATAATAAATATAATTACATAATTATACAACATGGAAGAGTATTCCAAAAGTTTAAAGAGTAAAAAAATGAGAACAAAACAATCTCACATGGTTAAGAAACATAGAAGAGTATCACATCTTACTTCTATAAATAATAGAGGTAATTTGACATTCAAAATCATGGAGCCTTTTGATGAGCACAGAGCGAACTATTATTTCGCTTCAATTGAGCTCAAATTTTAGGCTTAAATCGAACTTCTAATTTTTTTTTTGAGTTCGAGCCTTTTTGAGTTCAAGTTTTAATATTATATTTCGAGTTCGAGTTGAACTTGATAATTTTTAGCTCGTGAGTTTTTGATTCGAGTTGAGCTTACTTTTAAAGTTTTCGAGTTCGAGTCGAGCTCAGCAATACTCGAATTTGACTCGGCTCGTTGAACAGACGCCGTTTGGTTTAATTTTTTTTAAAAGAAAAAAGTGAACCGGCGGTTCAAACCGGTTTTGCCGATTTTCAGCCGGTTCACCCCGATTTTACCGATTTTTAGCCGGTTCTACCGGTTTTCAGCCGGTTCATTGCCAGTCCAATTTTGTGAGGTAACCGGACCGGACAGGCCACCGGTTCACGGTTCAACCGGTTGAACCGGCCGGTCCGGTCCAGTTTTGATAACCATGACTAAAACAGATCAAAACTGATAATTTAGTACTAATCACGTAATTTACTCAATAAAATAATGGGGCCTATGAATTTATTAAGGTGTCAATTGTCTTCATTGAATTTTATATTAACGTTAATGAATTGTTCTTCCATAAAATTCTAATATAATATTTCTTTATCAAAATTCAAAAAAAAATCAATTAAACTATTTAATTTTGGTCTTTCCAAATTCCCACTATTAATTCACCAAATCTCTTTCCCAATTTTTCATATCAATAAAAAAATTTATTAACATTATTTTTTTTTCAAAATTTAATGAGAGGGAAAAATTTAAGTATAATTAGCATGCTTCTTTTCTCTTTCATATTTCACGATTCATCTAAATATTATTATTCTTATTTTTTAATTTATCATATTTTTCTCACACGTAAAGTCACAATTGTTTATTGTCAATTATAGTGCTTGAATCTTATTGAAGATCATTCTTAAAATTCTAGGTAGACCCCATTTTCAAATTCTTTCTTTTAATTTTATATATTTTCAAATTCTATATAAGATCGTTCTTTCATTTTCAAATGTTATGTATTGAGAAAAATATGTTGGAAAACATTGATGTTGACACTATCATCAATGATTTGCATAAAAATTGATCAAATGTAATAATTTTTTATAAGTATTTGTATTCTTAAATATAATTTTTTACATCTTTTATATTGTAATGAATTGCTTAATTTAATAAAAATCTAATAAAATTTTTATATTATATATTTTTTAATTTTTTTATAGTAGTAGCCCATTTTTTAGCTTAAAAATAATTAGGACATGCCCTGGTTAACTGGACTACCACGTGACGTAAGAATACAATGTGTCTAGTCATATATACAATGAATTCATTTCATTCGACACGTGCTGATAAAAGTTTGCAAGAAAGATGAATCTTCATATACAAAGAAAGTTAGTCCAGTGGGTGTGGGGTATAAGCTATTGCTTTTTTTTTCTTTATTTATTGATTAAAAGTGCTTCATTGTCGACGACTCATCGTTTTCGAAATGCGCGTTACTTCATCACCACTTTAATCTATCTAATTATTATTTAGTTTTATTTTTTTGATTTAAAAATTAAAATTTATGAATTCATTAAGTCTCCTCAATCGTAAAATTATATGTTGGGAATATTCTAAATAATTATTAAAAAAAATATTTTAAATAAATACTACTTTATAATCACCCCGTATTATTAAAAAAATTGTTGAATCTATTTAGTGGCTTATATGGTATAAATGAATATTATTTTTTAAAAATATATTTGAGAAAAGACGTTTGTAAGATGTGTGTATTGTCAATTAATTAAAAAATTATTGTGAACATATACTACATTGTAATATTGAGATATTAGATAAACTATATAAATAATCATTAAATTATGCTGAAATAATTTTTTGATTACTGAAATTTTAAAAATTATAAAATAATGATTAAACTTTTTAAATAGTTACATTTTTTTTAATTTATCAAAACTTATCACTGTATTATTATGTTTAATGACTATTTTGTAACAGTTCGATAAGGTTTACAACCACTTTGTATCTTTTGAAACATTAGTGACAAAGAATATCATTTTAGCATAATTTAGTGAATATATGTATACTTTATCCAAAAATATTTTGATATTTTTTAAAAATAAATAATTTTTATATTAATTTGATCATTAAATTTTGAATTAAAAATGATTAATTTTATTACTAGAATAATAAAGGTTTGATAAAATGGATAATCCCAGCATGTGATAGTGGAAAATGGTTTGAATTTATTTGGTAAAAGTGTCGATTTCCCTTGCTGTTTTGTGATGGTAGTGGTACACACGTACATTTCTAACCAAGTAGAGAAGTGGGTAAACCTAAGAAAGAGAGTTGGTGGGTGGTTCTCGTGCTAAATTGCACCACCAAGCCAGTGTCCCATTCATAGGAAACAAAAAAAATACAAAATGGACAAGGAGTATTATTGCCATTTCCTTCTTATTTTCCA